TAAGCCCCAGACCCTAACACACCTAGAGTCACCCCCTGCAGCCGTGTTCTCCTGTACAGCCGGAGCCTCAGGGAAAAGGTCCATGAGAAAACGGCCAGGAAGAAGAGCAGAGGGCAAATCGCGCCCCAGCAGGCCACCACCTGTGGGTTCAGGGTCTAGGGTTCAGGGTTCAGGGTTCAGGGTTCAGGGTTCAGGGTTCAGGGTTTAGGGTTTAGGGTTTAGGGTTTAGGGTTTAGGGTTTAGGGTCTAGGGTCTAGGGTTTGGGTTTTGGGTTTTGGGTTTTGGGTTTGGGGTTCAGGGTTCAGGGTTCAGGGTTTAGGGTTTAGGGTTTAGGGTTTAGGGTTTGGGGTTTAGGGTTTGGGGTTTAGGGTTTAGGGTTTAGGGTCCAACAGATCCTACATGGGGCCCCACCCTAAACCCTAGACCCGGAATCCAAACTGATCGAATGATCCAAGCCGCTGAGTAGCTGACGGCGATGTCAAGGAAATCGTTAATCCTAAGGCCCAATTTCCGGGAAATCGCCCGTGTACATGCGCGGAGGAGCTAACCAAACCGATTCAATTCCCAGGGACTAGCTGTTCAGGAGAGTTGGGGTCTGGTTTCTGTCTCAGGTGGGTTGATGCAACTCGCCCGGGAGTGTCAAGTAGTTGGGGCTGCCTAGGGTTTAGGGTTCAGGGTTCAGGGTTCAGGGTTCAGGGTTTAGGATTTAGGGTTTAGGGTTTAGGGTTTAGGGTTTAGGGTTTACTCACGACACTGGACATCTACGTCTCGGGCCTTAGGATGAGGGTGTAGGGCTACGGGCAGATGAGGGCCTGGTGGATTTTGGATTTGCTTCACCCAAAGCGAAGGTCCCATTGAATGAACGTCGGACTCAAACTTATAGACCCCTAGAACCCCAGACTTGGTGCAGCTAGCGTCAGGTCTAGAAGTCGGGGGTGAGCTGTCAAACCAAAGGTTGAATAAGTTCAATTGCAACAGTTGTAGCAGGAGCGGTACTCGCAATAGGATGGCAGGCGTGGTCGTGTCGTCGCGGCAATAGAAAGTACATTGTAAAAAGAAGAATGGCAAAGATGAAGCTTAATCGTAGAAGAGCAAAAGGGCATTAGAGGTGTGGGGATATTGTTGTCACACAAGGCAGCAAAGCAACAGGGCGATGGAGCCATGGAGCAATGGAGATCTAGACCAAGAGAGCACAAGGGCAAGAGAGTGATGCAGCAAAATAGCACAATAGAGCAAAGAGTAATGGAGCAAAAGAGCGATGGAGCAATGGACTACCCGAGTTCTAGGGTCATTGAGCAACCTGGTTGTGCCATAGAATAGTAGGATAGCAAACTACTATAGCAGAATGTCACCTTAGAAGTACAGTAGTGTGGTGGTAGTAGTAGTAGTAGTAGTAGTAGTAGTAGTAGTAGTAGTAGTCGTCGTCGTCGTCGTCGTCGTCGTCCTCGTCGCCGTCGTCGTAGTCGTAGTCGTAGTCGTAGTCGTAATCGTAGTCGTGGTCGTAGTCGTAGTCGTAGTCGTCGTAGTCGTAGTAGTCGTAGTAGTCGTGGTCGTCGTAGTCGTCGTAGTCGTCGTAGTAGTCGTAGTCGTAGTCGTAGTCGTAAGCACTCCGGCTCAGCTGTGTCCCAGCAGCGGGACTTATAGTTGTGGAGATGTAGCATCTATGCCATGGAGCGAACCTTTCGGTGGAGTCCGGCTCCGAAACGTGATGATCACAGTCCTATAGTGCAGCGAGCCGCACTAGCGCTACTGTTGACGCTCGCCAGCTGGGTGCCTTTTGGCCCCAACAAAGGGCGCATGGGTCGACTGAAAGCCGTTGCCCCTGGCTTGCCAACGCGTCAGTCTGAAGCTAGCCCCGTTGCAAGTGCGTGTTTACTAGCAGCTAGGAGTTGGCACAACTTCTCCTGCAGTTGGTGCAAGCGAGAGGTCGATACCGCCTGCATCCCTCCTGGGTGCGCGCCGTCAGGCCGCCCCATTGAGAGCACGCTCGTCAGCTGGGTGCCTCTTGGCCCCAACAAAGGGCGCATGGGTCGACTGTGTGCCTTTGGCCCTGCGTGGCTACCTGGGCGCGCGCCGTCAGGCCGCCCCATTGAGCGCATAGTGCCACACCTCCTTTTAGATAGCCGGCCCGGTCCCAAGTCCGGGGTGGGATGCCGACTGACGACTCTACTTATATTGCTACATTGTCAGGTGTCCCGCAGTGTGAGGGTTCCAGCTCTTTCCGTTGGAGCTGGGGAAGGCAACTCCCTTGCCTATCAGCGACGACTTCAGGTGCCGAAGCTAAACGGAGTTCAGGTCACAGATGGGAAGCAGGGACCTACTCACAAGTGGAACCGATGTGTCAAGAGATCTTTTATGCCAGCTTGCAATAGAGCTATTCGACATTGCCAAGCGCAGCCCTTGTGCCTGTGTACCTCTCGTTTTATTCAGATACCCGAGGTGTGTGTAGCTGCAGATCATCGCTGCCTTGTCCCGAATGCTGACCGAATGCCGGCGGCGG